GCATCAAAAACAATATTTTTAAACAATATTTTTAAGCTTATCTCTATGGTTGCCGAAAATCCCAGATAAAAGATCGAGAAATTTGTTGGCGCTTTTTTTTTACTAATGGTGATGTGATGATGATGAATTTGACTAAGAGTGTAATTTCTGGCCATCTAGGGGTACAAATTTCCTCAAATTTTCGCACCTTAGTCCCAACAATGGTGGGTGTGGACTCAGGAAATGTCTCCCCACCTTTCAAAACAGATATGCACCCTTCTTTGGGTATGACATTAAACTCCTAATTCGGAGTATGTCTTAGTGTCTGCTGAGAGGAGCCGCATAAATTTGTGTTCAGGCTGTGATCTGGTTTTTCATGCCCATTTTTCGTGATTATGACTATTTTGGATAAAGAATGTTTTGAGCAGTGGCAGATTCAAGGCTTTCACCTAAATTGTTTTAATGGACAAAAAAAGAAAGTTTTATTCAAAATTAAGTCTGAGAGTGTAATTTCAGGCCATCTAGAGGTGTCTTAATCATAAATCTCTTTACGGTACCGGTACCTTAGCCCCAACCATGGTGGGCTGAGGTGGATGGATCGAGCCTCAGTCTTGGTCACTTCTTTCCTTCGAATTTCTGGATCCGCCACTATTGAGTTATTATTATAATTATTGTTAGGCTTACTAGTATTATTTATAATGCGACTATTGCAATTTCACTTTATTCTCTCACCGGGGTCATTGGCGTCCCTCAGCCGTAGGAAGAGGAACACCCCAACCCCTGCTCGGTGCTACGTACCTCACATAACGCCCCCCCCCCCACCTGTCTCTTATTCTGGCCACCGTCCCTGCCTCAACTTACCCACGGTGGTGAAAAGGTCTTTATAAAGACTACTTAAATACTTGGGTAAATACCTGTCACTCGGCGTTATTCATGACACATTCCCCGCCCCAAACTTTCAAAACACAGCCCTTACTTTTATGGTTCGAATTTTTATTGGAGAATGACAGTAGCTTAGTGCTGTATGTTTGCTTGACTTGCATTTGTGTACGTAATATGTTACAAGTTTTAGTTCTATGCTGTTCCAATTATGAGAAACAATTGTCTAGCTGTAAAATAATAATAATAATAATAATAATAATAATAATAATAATAATAATAATAATTATTATTATTATTATTATTATTATTATTATTATTATTATTATTATTATTATTATTATTATATAATTTGCCGTCTTTATAGAGCAGCTATAGCAGTAAGCCTAATGCCATTGGCTGTTGGCTTTATCATTGTTGATTTATTTATTTTATACTTCAGAGGTGAACCAAAAACCACAATAGGCCTATATAAAATAAGTAAAATAAAATGTCATTATGAAATCAAACAAAGAGGCTACATTTTTAATAAAACCTCGGATCTTGAAAATCCAAAGAGCGACCGACGTCCCTGACATTAAGATTACTCATCATAGCCCCCTCTATAGGTAAATAAAGTTTATATATACCGTACCGTACAGTAAAATAACATCAGTACTGTATACAGTACAATATTTAGTAGGCCTATGTATAATTAGTAATAATATGATAATAGTTTATTCATGATTGAGGGCATCATTGCAATAAATAAATGAATTGATCAGATTAAATTGATTCGTTAACTATAGTTTAGTGTTGATATAGAAAAATGGGTTCACGGCTGGTT